CACCACCACCACCACCACCACCACCACCACCACCACCACCACCGGCAACTGTCTAAAAATAAAAACCAGGCAGCTCTTATGGCTTAGAATTCACAGTCCCCATCCTACCATCACATTCCAAAAGCTGGGATTATGAACACATTGACACACCCAACATGTTTATTTATTACATCCCTGCCACAGAACCCAAGACTTTGCTTATGCTGGGTAAACTGTCCACTACTGAGCTAGCTACACCCTCAGCCCATACACAAAACATAACCCCCCCTCCAAAAAACCCTGGATATACAGCTCTGTTTTTTAATTCTTTAATTTCTTACTTACATCTCCCAGATGGTTCAGAATAATCACTAGGTTTAAATACTAGTAACAGAGTAACATCAGGATTTTTTGTTTTTAAGACAGGCAGGGTTTCTCTGTGCAGCTCTGGAGCCTTTCCTGGATATCACTCTGTAGACCAGGCTGGCCTGGAACTCAAGAGATCCGCCTGCCTCTGCCTCCTGAGTGCTGAGGTTAAAGATGCGCTACCACTGCCTGGCAGCATCAGGATTTTATGTGCCCTAGGCATGAAACAGCTTTGGCCACCAAGTCAGGCATCAAGCTAGGATGAACAAAGGACTGCCATCTGCTCTGCCCCTGACTGATATAAGAGCAACACCACCAACAAGGTGTCTCTTTGCCCATTGCCAGGGGTTTCTTCAAAGAACAGCTGACCCTGCCCAGCCAGCTGGATTCTACTTCCCTTCCCACTTTGCTTGAGAATCAGGTAAAGGAGTAGTTTTGCTGGTGGAAAAACTGTTGGTAATTAGCCCAAGTCAACAGTTCTAGCTATCCATGCCAGCAAATGCACCTGACCTCTCAGCTGCCATCATTCTTACACCGGACATTCCAAGAGGGAAGAAGCCGCTCTTACCTGCTGCGCCAACTCCCGAGTGGGCGCCAGAACCAAAGCCTGAGTGGCCTTTAGATCTAACTCAATCTGCTGCAGGATAGATATGGCAAACGTAGCTGTCTTCCCAGTCCCAGACTGGGCTTGGGCGATCACATCATAACCTGTAAGCAGACAGAGAATTACATGTGCATCCATCATGGGCCCACAGACAATTGAGACCTAACCGCATAATATCAATAAGGAAACAAAGTTCTAAACAGCGTCAAGGGCCTCACACTTTTGCCACCATGATATTCTGACAACAAAGTCCAGGGTATCAGAACATTGTGAACTCACTCACTCCACGCCCACTTGAGCTAGACATAACACATTAAAAATAAAAATGCCTATGAAGTGGGAACACCAACCCCGTATCCAAGGTATGACCTAGGTACCAAGGAGCTGGGATAAACAAGCTGTTTCCCTCTGCCTGCGATGCCCACCACCAGCTCCATCCAGGTCAGGGACAGTCGACTCCAAATCTGTCCTGAGAACAACTCTTACCCTTGATACAAGGAAGAATGGCCCGCTGCTGGATGGCAGACGGCTTCTCAAAACCATAGGCATAAATACCACGGAGGAGGGATTCGGAGAGATTCATGTCATCGAAGCTGTCCACAATCTCATTCCAGTTACTCTGCAGGACGCAAAGAAACAAAAACTCACTAAGATAGCAGCGTGTGTTTACACAAAAGACACAGCCACTCCAGCCCCCCCCAAGCCTGACATTTCATTCTCAAAGACTGAGGTCACTGTCGCTATAAGGAGGCGCCACCTGTTTGCTTCAGACATGTAATGTGGGGACTGGATGGCGGAGAACACTCTTTGACAGGTTAATGGAAGAAGGTTCTAGTCTCACCTCGATGACGCCTTCAGGCTCCATCCCGTCGGGGCCATTGTCTCTGGATCTGTGGATTCAAAGCATCGGTTTTGTTTCCTGGTTGCGCACAGCACGGAAGCACCCAGCCCATTCCCGCTCCAATCCCCACCTGCTCCCAAAGGACAATCAAGGCGCAGTGCAGAGCGACCCTCCGGCCAAGCCCCGGGGGCTGGGCCTCCACACCCACGGCGCCGAGATTCGGCCCTGCCCACCAGCCCCACATGTTCCGGGCCCGGCCGATCCAAGCGCGTGCACCTCCTCCCGGGCACCAAGGCCACCGGAAGTCCCGCCCTTCACCTCGGCGTTCCGAGGGTGGGCCGTCCCCTTCCCCCCACGTCATGCCGCCCGCGCCCTCCCCCACTCCCTCCGGCCGGCCCCCCCTCCGCAGTACCCGGATGTGGGAGGCCGCGGGCGGTGGCGGCCTCGCGCACAATGAGCCCCAGCCGAGTTAGCTCAGGGGGAGATTGCACAACACAGACAGGCCAAGCAGACTGGGGGAGGGGAGCCTCTCCAGCGGCCATGTGCTCACCCGCCCCGCCACTCGGCGCCGGCGTCTCCCCCGCCATCGAACAATCCGCAGCCCGCCCGCCCCCGTCGAGCAATGGCGTCGCCCTCCCATACCTCAGGCCGCTCACCCCCGCAGCAAAGTGGACCTGCCCATCCGCAGTTTGCCAATTGCCCGGCTTGTGCGGCAAAATGGACCCGCCCGCCCGGCGCCGGGTGGGCTCCCGGTGCCTCCCGCGGCCGCTCCTCGGGGTCAGGCTCGGTCCTGGCCGTCAAGAAAACCAGCACCCTGAACGGCCCGGTTCTCCTCCCCCGACCCCCACTCCAGGAGCGGCGAAGGGACGGCGCTGGCTCCAGCCCCGGGCACCCCCGCCCGGGCAGGTGGTACCGCCGGAACCCGCCGGAACGCGCGCGCCCTGCCCGA